TCAAATGCCTTTGCATAATCAATGAAACACAGATAGACATTCTTCTGGTATTCTCTGCTTTCAGCCAAGATCCATCTAACATCAGCAACAATATCCCTAATACCACGACCCCTTCTAAACCCAGCCTGGACTTCTGGCAATTGTACAATAATGGTTTTATGTAATATTTGACCTTGTGGGACTGAGTTAGTTCACTCAACATAATGCTCTCCAGTCCTTCCCAAGTTAGGTAATAATTTACAAAATCATTGTTACTGCGTGCTGCATAGTATTCATTGTGTGAATGTACCATAATTTCTCAGTCCATTCATTTGTGGTTGGATATCTGGGCTGTTTCCATACTCTTGTGATAGTGAATAATGCTGCTATGAACATTGGCTTGTAAGTCTCCTTGTACCTCAGATCTCATTTTTTCGGTATATTCCAAGTAGTGAAACAACTGGGTCATATGTTCAGTTTTTTAAGGAAGCACCAAACTGTCTTCCAGAATGATTGTACCATTTTACAATCCCATCAACAATGTGTAAGAGTTCCTTTTTTGCTACATCTTCTCCAGCATTTATTACTTGCTGGCCTGTTAAACTTTGCCACTGTTAACTGGAGTGAGATGGTACCTCATTGTAGTTTTGATTTGCATCTCTCTTATTTCCATTGATTTCGAACATTTCTTTATGTTGGCCATTTGAATGTCTTCTGGGAAAATTCTATGTCTTTTCCCCATTTTGTAATTGGATTATCAATCTTTTTCTTGTGGAGGCCCCGGAGTATTCTGTAAACTTTCATCATGAGACTCCTGTCTGAGCTGGTATTACTAAATGTTTGTTCCTGGTCAGTAGGTTTTCTTTTCACCCTGTTGGAAAAATGTTTTGATGCACACAGGGATTTAATCTTTAGAAGGTCCCATTCATCAATTTTATCCTCTTTAGATTGTGCATTTCTGGCTGTATTTGGCAGTCTCTTTATACTTTGGACTAGCTTTCCTAAGCCTGGTCCCAGTATATCTCTTATGAACTTTATGCTTTTGGGCTTTACTGTCAGGTCTCTGATCCATCTTGAGTTGATTTTTGTGTATGATGTGAGATGTGGATCCTGTTTCAATTTTCTACTGGTGGATGTCCAGTTTCAATTTTCTACTGGTGGATGCACCATTGGTTGAAGAGGTTGTCAATTCCCCATTTGATAGCTTTGATTTCCTTGCCAAATATCAGTTGACCATAGAAACCTGGGTCTGTTTCTGGGTTTTCAGTTCTGTTTCATTGGTCTATGTGCCTGTCATTATACCAGTGCCAGATTGTTTTGGTTACTACTGCTGTGTAATAGGTTTTGAGATCAGGGAGTGCTATGCCTCCCACCTCATTTTTGTTTCTCAGAAGTGTTTTGCTTATTTGGGGGTCCCTTGCCTCTACAAATAAATTTGATAATTTCCCTTTCAATCTCCTTGAAGAATGTATTTGGTATCTGGATTGGGATTGAGTTGAACATGTAGATTGCTTTTGGTAGGATTGTCATTTTCACTATACTGAGACTTCCTATCCATGAACAGGGCACATTTTCGCATTTCTTTAGGTCTTTTATTGTGTCTTGCAGATATGCTCTGTCGTTTTCTTTGTATAGGTCTCTTGTATCTCTAGTTAGGTTGGTATTGCTTTCTTAATTTCCTTCTCTGAGTTCTCTTTGTTATGTTGTTGTTGTTATGTGTCATTGAGTCGTTTGTGACTCATAGCGACCCTATGTACAAGAGCCCTAAACCCTGCTCTATCCTGTACCAACCTCTCTGTCTCTGACACACTTACCCCCCAATCACTGAATCGATCCATCTCATCAAGAGTCTTCCTCTCTTGCGCTGTCCCTCCACCCTCCCAAACATGATGTCCCTCTCCAAGGACTGGTCCCTCCTTGCAACATGCCCGAAGTATGTCAGATGAAGTTTCAGAATCGTTGACTCCAAGGAGCAGCCCAGTTTCACCCTCTCCAGGATGAACCTGTTTGTTCTAGCAGTCCATAATATGTATATTCAACACTCTTCTCCAGCACCACAGCTCAAAGTCATCAATTCTCTTTTTATCATCCCTAGTCATTGTCCAGCTCCCTGATGCATAGCACACAATTGCAAAGACTTTGGCCCTGATCAGGTGCACCTTAGGCTCCAGCCTGACGTCATTGCTCTTCAGTACTCTGGAGAGTTCCCTGAAAGCTGATTTTCACCATGCAATTCATCTCTTGATTTCCTGGCTGCTGGTACCAAGAGTGTTGATTGTGGAACCAAGCAAACTAAAACTGTTAACAGTCTCAATCTCTTCACCATCTGTAATGACGCTGCCATTCAGCTCAGTGGTGAGAATCTTTGTTTTCTTCATGTTGAGCTTCAATCCATATTGAAGGCTGCAGTCCTTGACCTCCTGCAGCAAGCACTTCAGGTCCTCCTCAGTTTCAGCAAGCAGGATTGTGTCATCTGCATAACACAGGTTATTGATTAATCTTCCTACAATCCTGATACCACATTCCTCCTTGTACAGCCCAGTGTCTTGGATGATCTGTTCTGCATACAGATTGAAAAGGTCTGGAGTCAGAATACATCCCTGGTGGACACCCTGATTTTCAACCATGCATTGTCTCCTTGCTCTTTTCTGATGACTGCCTTTGTTACTGTAGAGGAATCCTATTGATTTTGGGGTATTGATCTTATATCTTGCCACTCTACTAAATTGGCATACTAACTTGAACCTTTTGTTGTTGTTGTTGAGTACTTGGAGTTTTCTGTGTATATTATCATATCATCTACTTATATTGTTGTTGATTGCCTTAGAGTTGAGCATGACTCATAGTGAACCTATGAACAAAAGGCCTGAAGCCTTTCTATAACTATTGACATTTATCAAAGTTCATAGAGTTTCTGGAGGCATATTGTTTAGGAGATGGATGCAACTCCTGCTTCCATATAACAGTTTAACCATCTCTTTGCTGATCTAGATGCCTTTCATTTCCTTCTCTTCACATTGAGTTTTGAATCTTAACATTATTAAATATTTAGAAGTTGACCATGGTCTTTTCAAACACTTCCTACTCATCTGACACAGAACAATGAATAAGGATGACAAAAGAATTGATATTTTAAGTTGTGGTTTTGGAGAAGAGTACTGCATATCCCATGGAATGCCAAAACCAGACCAATCTTGGAGAAAGTGCAGCCAGAATGCTCCTTAGAGGCAAAAGTGATAAAGCTTTGCCTCATATACTTTGGGCATGATTTAAGAGATTGATGCTTGGAGTTGAAATGATGTTGTTGTTGTTATGTGCCATCAAGTTGCTTGCGACTCATAGCGACCCTATGTACAAGAGCCCTAAACGCCATTCTATCCTGTGCCAACCTCGCTGTCTCAAACCCACCACTCCACTCACAGAATTG